ACCATACGCCCCACCTAGAGTTAACACAGCTTAAACAATCACACAGAAAACCTAGACTGTTATATTTGCCTTGTCTATTGATATCTGCCCCATTTGCAAGAAGGAGTTCGACGATGGCGAGCTCTCCCGCCGCCTGTAGCGGAGTGCCGAAGTTCGAGTCATATACTTTGCCTTGGGGAGTTCGACGTGAGGCCGTTTCCTCGCAGTTTGTGAAAATTCCATACCCTGGGCATTTGGGTCCGCGCCATGACGAAGTAGCACGCTTACTACTTTTGGGTGTCTGTAATGACACGCTGACACCAATGCCGACTCCCCATCGCCGCCTTGACAACAATTGTAAGCAAATTTCACCTAGGGCCACAATTGAGACACCCGCCTGTGTTATTAGGAGCCGCACCGTATGCCAGTAGCATTTCAACGGCGTCAACATCACCGCGAGAAGCAGCCAGGATAAGGGCTGTAGGGCACTCGCAGTCTGAGAGAGCTTGATTAGAGCCGAACCTTTGAAGTAGAAAACGACTGAACCTTTCACACTGGTATTCACGTCAGCACCGTTCTTGATTAAATCTAATATTGTTTGCATGGTCACAGTTTCCCAAATCGCATTCCGAAGGGAGGCGGCATGCTCGTCTATCCGTCGCTTTTCGCGTCGTGCCAGCATGGTCTCAGCAACATCACGTAACGGAAGCACTAGCAAGAGGATCGCAAGAATCTGCCCGAAGGTCCACTCGGATTCACCGGCAATTTGATGAGTGTGATTTCGACGAAGCGTTAGCTCGATATCAACCAGGAATATAAGGTTGATTGCAAAGAGAAGAGCCATGCCGAGCACTGTTGGCAACACACTTGGGGTGGTGGGTAGACGGTTATACCATACACGGATTCGCCTTGAGATTCTACGGAGACGAGGATTGGCCTTTAGCAGGTTAAACTGTGGGCGGATTCCACTCGGAACTTGAAGTCGACTGACACACAGATTGGCGGACGGAGCAGCTGTCGTGTCCGATCCAATGCTAGTGCAAAGTCGGCTCTTGTTCCATGTCTGGTAGGCGAGGAACACGCCGAGGAAGAGCGCCATCGGTAGGACCAAGTTGAATCCGGGCATTAAGAAGAGGGCGTATATGGCGATGGACCAGCCGCGCAGGCCAGTAGACCCTAGTGAGACGTTTCGCCCCAGGACAACAACGTGTGCGATATCCATAACGCAAGAGCCATCGGGTCCGAATGATTGCGGGTTGCTCCAAAGCCAAATGCCCAAACCGGCCATCAGGGAAAGGTGGAGAGATCCGAGAACCATGACTATTCTCCGGAACCCCGCCTTGAACCAGGACTGCTGCCGCGCAAACAATTGAGCTTTTGATACGTTAACCAACATCTCTTTCAGGGATGAATAAAATCTTACCAGGTTGAGCAAAATCAAGGTACGCGTCTGGATTTATATATGAATCGCGATCGTCGGTGTCGGAAACTGAAATGGAACGACAATGATGGGAAACATGACCTACCCTCTGGATCCACAGACTTGTGACCGCGACGTTGGCCCCATGGCAATGGCAGTCGGTCCTTGAGGTGATTGATCCATGAAGAAAAACTCGGCGCGATCCGATGGGGCCCAGGCTGGCTCTTGTTCTGGACGTAGAGGAGGAAGTAGATGAATGTGTTGGTGTTGTTCATCCAGCTCAGGTCGAGGACGATACTGGCGTGGAAGTTTGAAAGCCCGCGATTGGCCTGGACCATAGCTGAAATGAGGATGGCGAAGGCCGTGACCAGGATGGTCGTAGATTGAGTTTCGACACACTCGAGCTCGTAATCCGAAACTTCCCCATCCCAAAGGGCCCAGATGGCAGGGACAAAACTGAGAAGGTTTTGGGCATAGATCGCGGTGCGAACGCCGACACCAGAGATATCGGGATCAGCTGGGATGGAACAGGAGAGGGCAGCGTCCATGGTGGTGGGAGGGAAGAAAAGAAGGTATCGCGTGGGTGATCGGCGAATGCCTGCCCAAATCGATCAGTACAAGAAGAGCGAGCCGATCATTGTTGGTGAGTCGGTTCGCGTGTCATGGCGTCGGAGGAAGCCAACCCCTGCCTCGTCACAGCCTGCTCTACACAATTACAGTTTGACCTGCGAGGGAGTCGATCGCTGTTTCTGGGGTCTGTCATAAAAGTAAACATTGCGGTTGCGTTCTGGCAGAAAGGAAAAGGAAAAGAAAATGTTGCAATGCCATGGGAGGGACGAGTCGAACCCTCAATCCCCTGCGCCGATGAGCGTTCAGCGAACAACCTTGAGAGGTGACTTCCATTGGCAGCGCCGGCGTGTCCGGGGTATACGCGTGCATGGCTTCTACTAAAACGTCGCTTTCGGGTAGGAAACCGAGATATTTTGTGTCCACGGGGATGAGATGCGACTTTGTATAGGCTTCTGTCTTGCTTCCGCAATAAGTAGGCTGATGGCCGCGAAACTTAATCCCGCGCGGGGCAAGCGGTCCCCAGATAGTCAGGCTGGATGGGAGTCTTTCCACGATAGACCCGAGATTGCGCGGGTGGGTAGAAGAGGAGGCAATAATAATGAGGGATCGACAAGGGATCGAGAAAACAGGCAGGGTGTGTGCGAATCGAGTCCCAGGATCTTCGCTTCCTCACAGTTCACAGAGCCCGTTGACGATGGCGATCAAGCTGCAAGCGCAAGAGTCAAGATTTGGTCAAGATCGTGAGAAGTTGGTGCAAGGATTGTCTCATGGCCACCCGGCCTCCACTCGAGCTAGCTCCAGATATCCCGCGCCAAAGCAAAAGAGCAACCAGAGAGCAACGGATGTGAGGAATCGATGTCGGCCGAAAGAGATGATGGTGGAAGAGGACGAGTGACGAGAGCAGGAGTGTGTGCTCCTGTTTGCAATCAATCAACGATGATGACGTTGACAGCACTGCCACCCCGTCTCTTGCTTCTCCCTCTCACGCTCCCATCTCGCTCTCGTCCTGCTTGTCCGCCTGCCGCCTCTGCGTATCTATCCTTGCTTGCTCCGCTTCATCGCTCTTTTGACCTCTCAGCGCAAGTACTGGCCCCGCCTCGCCACTGATCTGATTTTTTTTTTTGTATTTTCCCTCGCCTCTCCCTCGGACGACGGACTCTCGACATCTCCCTTGATAATGGGCCATTTGCACTCCCTGGATACCTGATGCCCCAAAAGCTCCGCTGTATCCTCCAGAACTTTCTTTCAGGCGCTCAGTACTGATTCTCGCCCATGATCGCGTATTGGGTCCGCCCCGGTTACTTTTGCTCCATACCACATTCGGGCATTCCGCAACTAGCAAGGTGGTACTGGAACTTCAGCACGCCTCCGACGGGAGTTGTTTAAGTGTTCCGTGGCATTCACTTATTGAGCGACGAAGGCATTCGAGAGATCGGTGCGTAACCCCACCATCCGCGATTCCTGGAATTCAATCCATCCTGAAACAACCAGAGGTTATCATGCATCTCAACCCAGTGCTCAACCAACATTTGGAGGTGTTTAAGGCCTGTAGCGTCGACTCGAGCCTCGGGTTATGCTGTAGCGTTGTGAGTTCTTTTTGGCAGTGTGTCTTTCCCATCCTTGGTGGACAACGGTATCTGCTGTGAATGGTCTCGGAAGCTGCTTGCGATCCCGCACTGATACTACAAATCCTCGGACGCCTCGCAGAGGCACCGCGCATCTGTCCCTCTGGGAGTTTCTCGCTGCGTGCGTCTCACTCCTGCCTATCTGTTTCGCGCTCTCACTCATTGCTGATGCCTCCTATCGTGTCCCCCTCCCACCCAGAACACCCCGCGCACTGACCCGTGAACGCGTGAACCCCACTGACTTCCTTGCGTAATCCGTGCGGTCGCGTTGAATTCAACATGGTCGTGCGCAGCGTTGGCCCGGTACCCCGCGTCCACTCTCTACCTCTCTTGTCCACTGACACGATGGAATGGCACGCTGGACGTGTTGTGTTGATATTGGCGCGCAGGGGGAGTGCGCCACAGGCGGTGCGATTCAATCTAGCGTTCAAAGGTGGCGTCCTTCGAGAGTCACGTTTTTCTCATTTTGTCAGATTCGTCGGCAGCTCCTCAACGTCCGTCCAGCCAGTCTGAGTTCGTGGCCAACATCGATTCCCGCCTCCAAATGCGTCATAGTTGCCGCAGTGTCAAGTTCCAACACGGATACTTAGATAAGGCCCGCAGCGGATGGTCCGCACTCGCAACACATTGCAAAGTGACAACGAAACTTTGTGCCGGGCTGCTCGTTCGACTCGAGCTCGGGCCATATGCAACCAGTAGAAAGTTCCTTTTTTATCACTTATGTTTCGTTGATTCATTTCGTTCATCCTAGAGTAGCGTGGTTATGCCCCAGGCCTCCTTCTGGGTACGCGGATCTTTATCTCTCATTATTCTTCTCTATGCTCCATCGCGCTGACACAGTTTTCATTCTTCATTGAGTGCTACTTGGTTGTTGTGTTGGGAGTATCTCCGAGTGCTTACATGATGTAAGTATCTTTTCAGCTCTATCCTTACTGCGCGTACTGATCCCGCTGGTGGCCTTGTGGAGAACCAGAGTACAAGCGCAAAGACTAGCGTACACAAAAGTAGGATCCAGGTTATTTAACTGCATTGCGTGCGTTGACAAGTGACAGGTTGGCACTTGGCACCCGCTTTCAACGATGGAGACCATGTTGTTCGATTCAGCAATTCCCTTGCGACGCATATCACGCTGATATGGGCCACGACAAAAACAAGGCTTTAGCTTGATCCAATAAGGCTTACCGAGTCGTTCCTTGGCCACGATACGTTCCGGTCTTCTATGTTCAGTCACCCGCCGATCCCGAGTTGAATTTTTCCCCGCGAACAACCTCTCGAAAAGTATCGCGCAGCACATGTCAGCGGGCATCATGCATCGATATTCAGCCGGGGAGCGACGCCCCCGGTGCGCACCAACGAGAATTTTCAAGAGCGAAAGCCCACCAAAGAAAACGCTCCGTCTTGCACTACGCCTTCGATGGGATTCGAACCCATTTCTCTTTCCATATATTCCGGTGGCACTACCTCCATAGGGAGGAAGCGATCTACATTGATCCACAAAGGCTTGTATGAGCATTTTGTGGCCGGGATAACGTTGGAGGAATAATTCGATAACGTGCCGCGTCTTTTCAACTCGAAAGTGCGCCTGGCATTGGGAGTGATTTCAGACATTACGAGTTGGAATGGAGTGTAAGGGACTGCAGACTCGGGCTGAAGACTCAGATTAACACCGGTGTGGTACAGGAGCAGAGCGGCGTTCATCCATTGAGAACCGGCCTATGTGGCACAAAAATGGCGAGACACTCGGATAAGATATGAATGTATCGCAATGCACAAGTTCAATTGGCGACGGGTCGAAAGGTAGGCGTAAGAAAACATACCGGCTTGTCTGTGCATTGCACAGCATGGACCGACCATTTTCTCCCCGCGAGTTCACTACACCCACAAAAACCCCGCTCGGCTGGAAACAGGGATTTGCGGAACTCATCGTTACGCCTGTGGTGGGGCTCGAACCGACAACTTTCCTCCATAAGCGTTCTGGATTTCTCTGGACTGGCTAGAGAGCAATCTGACTTGATCCACACAGGCTTGGACGTGCTAGGTAGCTGCTGAGATACGGTCAACTACCCGGTTATCATCGTGGCTTCCAGCTCGATTCTCCCAGTGTGCACCTGGGAATGGCTCAATTATACACTTAGTCGCACATATAAGAGAAAGGCGCCAGCTCTTTCGGATCCACTGACTGTGGGAAAGTCGCCTCGTCCTCCATCGCATTTGACGCGAGCTTGAAAAAGTCAAGCCATCCCCATCATGTGTGAAAGAATGGGACTTGGAAAGTCCGGCGATCGAGCCGGCATCAAGACCGGCGGCACGCTCGGCACCGAAGCGCTTTGGAAGTCTCGCGGTCTTTTCCACTGAGTGCTGGCTACCCCGGATAGCAGCCAGATGTAAAGTAAAGAATAAATCTGAAAGACTGGTACTCGGAAAGCCTGGAGCCACAATCCAGGAGCGATCGAGCCGGCATCAAGACCGGCGGCACGCTCGGCACCGAAGCGCTTTGGAAGTCTCGCGGTCTTTTCCACTGAGTGCTGGCTACCCCGGATAGCAGCCAGATGTAAAGTAAAGAATAAATCTGAAAGACTGGTACTCGGAAAGCCTGGAGCCACAATCCAGGAAATAATAGGACAATGCTTAACATTGTGAACAGTGAGACTTGCCGCACTTGCCGGTGTGGGCGTATAGTAAGACAGAAGCACGTATTGTACATTTATGAAGTTCAAGTTCATCACCCGAGAGATACTCGGGGCTCTCCCCGCGCAGCTGCTTGGAATTCCCCTGTGGTTGGCCACTGGTTGGACAAGTTTGAAGCAAGCCGAACACTGCCACAAAATGAAAAATGGAACACAGCACACTTCCCTGTGCAATAAAAAAAAACATGAGCAGTGTGTTCACATCTCGGCGTATCCCAGGACGACATGGTGCAGTCATCGACCCGGAGGACCACCAAAACACGGTCAGGAGCGCAATGTTGTCAGTTGTTGTTCAGGGGCCGATTGATGCCGTCCCTTCCGCCGTCCCTTCCGCCGGACGATCACTCTTTTCAATCGCCGGACTTCCCAATTCCCATTTGTTCTCCATCATGTGGCCGCGTTTGATCATTCGTCATCCGCAAGCACGAGCAAACACCGTTTTCGTCTTTCTTTTCTCCTCACCGGAGCCCTCGATCCCACGAGTCCATGTCTCCCCGCCTTGAGCGCGACCAATTGGACCCAAGCTCCGTTCGCGCTCTTGCAATCCCACCCGCACCGGGGTCTGGCAGTGCCGCAAAGCAGATTCAAGACAGGGACCAGGGTGTCCTGCAAGACGGAGCCCGGGAAGAAGTGGACGAAGAAGCAGAACCGGGAGGGTCCGAGTGCGGAGGTGGGGTTGAGTAGCGCAAGCGCTCTGGGACGGACGGGACTGGGCGAGCAATGGGTGCTCCCACCGTAAAAAGGCGCACAAGGAAGCCACAGTCCAGGAGGTGCTGGCAAAATGGGGGCTCAACAAGCTTGGGAAGAAGGCTACAACTGATGCCGAGGCTCGGAACGAGTCGTCTGCTGGTTTCCGCCCCGCCGGTAGTGCATCAGGCTCCAAAAAACCGGTGCGTAATTGTTCTCTGGATGTATTTCAAGCTCTCAAGTGGTGTACTTTGATCCTAGACGGTGCCGGTACCCAAGAAGAACACAGTCGACACGCCGCGGACCGTCAAAGTGGGCACAGTCCATGCGATTACTTGCGGTCTTACCGTGTGTTATTTATTCTTTCCTTCCGTAGACTCAATATTGATGTGAGCAACAGAGCGAGTGCGGGCGTCAACGGCGCATCTCTTGTCCTCGGTTCTCGACTTCCGTATCGTCAGGCGGAGGGTATCCCTCGTTAGGTGCGTATTGTTTTTTCACTTGTCATGCATTTGCTGATCCTTATAATACTGTGTTCCGCGCAGGTCATGCACCCGCATTTGTACACCGCGCTCGGGCGCAACTACAAGCCACTTTTCTCACTCGTTTCAAAGCGAAATATCGCGGACGCGTTGAGCTGGTACGCGTCCATGCTCCCTTCCCCCTTGATCGCTCATTGTGTTGCACTGGTGGTGAACGTGGCGCTCAATGTGAGCCCCGCCAATTTCCGCCTTTGTTTAGGCGGCGTGAGTACGGAGGGAAGGTGTAGGTAGCAACAGGTACGTCTCTCAATTCATTCATCTATCTTTTCTACGCCCCTTTGCGTCTGATTCTCTGCACTTGGGCAATTCTTGCGCGCTTCAACAGTCATCTTTGTTTTCCGTGCGCTATACGTTTCCGCGGCAATCTCAACGGAGCCCGGTGCGTAAATTTATCTTCCACCTCCCACAGGCTGTGCTCTCCATCTCTCCCTCCCAGAGTCTCTTTACGTGCAGTGAATAAACGGTCACAAAAACGCAATAGCAAGGAGACTTGTGGACGCGAAGATGTCCGTGTCGATACTTCCCTTCCACTGTTGTTAAACGATAGGATGGCACCCTAGGTCCACATTGGCGAACTCCGGTGCACGGCCGCGTTCAAATGCTTGAGTGCTCTGGGTAGGATTCTGGGGCTTGCCGTTATATGGAGGGGGAGGGGAGGATGCAAGGAGAAGGTGCCCGCAATCTACCCGTTTCTTGCTCACTACTTCAGACGCGTCGATCCGTTACCGGTCACCCTGGCCGCTCTGTTCAACACTTACAACCCCTCTGACGCCACTCTCTCTCGAGATGCACAGTATTTTTCGCTCAAAGTGCTATGCGTATCCATATTTCCGGCTATCGCGCGTGAGTACGGAGGGAAGGTGTAGGTAGCAACAGGTACGTCTCTCAATTCATTCATCTATCTTTTCTACGCCCCTTTGCGTCTGATTCTCTGCACTTGGGCAATTCTTGCGCGCTTCAACAGTCATCTTTGTTTTCCGTGCGCTATACGTTTCCGCGGCAATCTCAACGGAGCCCGGTGCGTAAATTTATCTTCCACCTCCCACAGGCTGTGCTCTCCATCTCTCCCTCCCAGAGTCTCTTTACGTGCAGTGAATAAACGGTCACAAAAACGCAATAGCAAGGAGACTTGTGGACGCGAAGATGTCCGTGTCGATACTTCCCTTCCACTGTTGTTAAACGATAGGATGGCACCCTAGGTCCACATTGGCGAACTCCGGTGCACGGCCGCGTTCAAATGCTTGAGTGCTCTGGGTAGGATTCTGGGGCTTGCCGTTATATGGAGGGGGAGGGGAGGATGCAAGGAGAAGGTGCCCGCAATCTACCCGTTTCTTGCTCACTACTTCAGACGCGTCGATCCGTTACCGGTCACCCTGGCCGCTCTGTTCAACACTTACAACCCCTCTGACGCCACTCTCTCTCGAGATGCACAGTATTTTTCGCTCAAAGTGCTATGCGTATCCATATTTCCGGCTATCGCGCGCCACGTTCTCTCACTCTCGTTCTCGCTATCTGCGTCTACCTCCGTGTCCGGTCTATTGGCTGCCGTTGCAGCTGTGCTGGCAGACGCGTTGTGAGCGAGAGTTTGGCGATGGCGTGTTTGTCCTTGTTTGGCGCAGGCCTGTAGATAGCCGGCCTGCCGCGTAGCCAGTTTTCCAAGATTGCTTTCACCAAGTGCTACGAGCCTTGAGCGTCTCCACCGTCGTCCCGAACTTTACAACTACTCGCCTGCCTCCGGTCTCATCTGCACAGCAGTTCTGTCGCTGCAGTAAGGGAAGTGCTGTGATCCTCTGCGCTCCCCCTGGAACTTCCCGCAAGTCGCGCACCTCGCGCACCTCGCGTCTCTCTATCGGCGCGCCGCATTTTCAACCGTGCTCTACATCAATCTTTTGTTTTCTGTGCACTACGATGACGCGCACACACAGGCTGGGTTGGCATGGTACTCTACCATTCTGACAAGCGGATTTTGATTTTTGTGCGTGGCCCCGATCCTCGAATTTGCGATCCGCCGCGCATCTATCATAGACTATGACTGATACTTTACTCAAGTGTTTTGCTTGGATGTTTGGAAATCCGTACTTTCTGACAAGGAAGAATGCCTGTAGCGGAGGATCCGCACGCGCATTAAATGCAGATTCTTGTCCTGTCGGCGGGGCTGCTCGGTCAATTCGAGCTCGGGCCATATGGACGACCGAGTACGGGTGCTTTTTTTTTGTCGGCGGGGTCAGTGACTAGTCCCTTCAATCAGCACCAACCCTCCGCTCGCATTTCTCGAGCAGTGTCTTCCTCGTCGACGGCCAAGCTCGTTCTCGTGAAGAGAAGTTGGAATATTAATCGCCACTAGATCAAGGTTCACAGGTACAAAGACACGGCCTGTAGCGGAGGTTCCGCACCCGCTCGCAGTGTAGGATCTGCCTGCGGTCAGCAGAAGTGCTTGTTCGACTCAAGCTCGGCCTATACAGCATGACTTCGAAAGGTTTTTCTTCCCTCCTTCCGTTCGCTGATCACCATTTTGTATGCGGACCTAGATCGCTGGCCGAACTTTTCGCAATCAGGCAGTGTGGGGTGCCTCGTTCGTGGACCGC